TAAAAGTTTTAAATAAAAGCTATCTCAGGGAATTATAAGGGAATGTTACACGTGTTTAGCCAGGAAAGCCTCATTAATTTAAATGTTTTAATTAAAAGCTATCTGAGGGAATTATAAGGGAATGTTACACTTGTTTAGCCAGGATAGCGTCACTGAGTCTAAAGGTTTTTGTAGGGTCATGCCAAGTGTTTGCAGTAGGGGGCGATGTTGCTACACGGACGGACGGACGGGCGGACGGACGGACGGACAAACGGACGGACGATATAATCTATTGGTGTCTGGTCCACTTCGTTCCTACCAGTATAACTCCAGACTTGGATACACTGGCAAAAATGGGAGATCAACAACACTGTTCCCACTGAAACTGAAAGTGATGATGTGTTGCTGCAGCGAGGTTAGAGCCAAATCTCCGACACACAGCCTGCGTGGCTGCTCTAACCTGTTAATGTAGATAATAAAGAAGTTCAAGTGAGGTAATTGGTTTGGCGCAGGCCTCAGATGTTTTCATGATGTTTGATCAGTCACGTTACGACATGTTTTTGTATTGTTCGTGTTTGTATAATTTGTTAAATTGCCCCTTCTTCTTGGTTCTCTCGGTAAAGTCACGTAGAAGGGAAGTAATAAAATAATAATAATAAAATAATAATAATAATAAAACAGAAGCAGCCATCCTCAGGTGAAAACCAGATGACTTTACCGAAAGAACCAAGAACATGAATCCCTGCAGTCACGAAAGCTTTAAATCGAAATTGTTAAATTGCCTTGCAAATAAATTATTTGCTACCTGTTAAAGGTCAAATCCTTTCATGTAATGATTTTTACGTGTCATTTATATTAGTTCACACAAACACTCCATCCACCTGTTCCTGGCCTGGCCCCTCTGTCAAATTTTAGAACCCATTGTGGCCCGCGAGTCAAAAAGTTGGCCCACCCCTGCCAAAGAACATCTGTGGAGGGAGCTGAAGATTCCAGTTGCCAAATGTCAGCCTCGAAACCTTAATGACTTGGAGAAGATCTGCAAAGAGGAGTGGGACAAAATCCCTCCTGAGATGTGTGCAAACCTGTGGGCAAACGTACAAAATCAGCAGGGGATCAAATACTTTTTTCCCCTCACTATAGATGGTTGAAGGTCAAACAGTGTTAAGATAACAAAAGGGGTTCCACAGGGGTTCATCCTCGGCCCCTTCTTGTTCTCTCTTTATGTCAATGACTTGGGCACTGATCTAGATCATTCCAGGGTAAATCTGTTTGCAGATGACACGATACTGATTACTGCTGGTCGCTCTCCAGATGACGTGATTGCTAAGCTCCAGGGGGATTTTAACAAACTACAACATCAGCTAGTTGCTCTTAAACTAGTCTTGAATACTTCCAAAACCAAGGTGCTATGCTTCTCACCAGGATTAAAGCAGGAAGTTATTTTTCCCCAATTATATTTCTTAAATAATCATCAAATAGAGCAAGTCAAGATCTATAAGTATCTTGGGGTCATCTTTAATTCAAAACTGAATTTTCAAAATCACATTGATTATATTGGTAAAAAGACAAAATTATAAATTGGTTTTCTGTATCGACACAAGCACTGCTTCCCTCCTATGTTCCGCTTGGAATTTATAAAAGCTACCGTACTGCCTCTACTTGATTACTGTGATATCATATATAAATCAGTCCCCAGTACTATACTGAAGAAGCTTGACTCAATTTATCACTGGGCTTTAAGATTTGCATAGAACTACCCATATAGGACCCACCACTGCGATCTCTACATTGGGTCAAACTTAACTTCTCTTAATGATCGACGGCTTGTGCATCAGATCTTATTTATTCACGATGTACTTACAAAAAAATCAGCAGACTACCTGGTGGATCTCCTCACTGTTTCGAAGAACAAATGTGACCTAAGGTTTTCGCTCATTTACCAGCTTCACATTCCTTATTGCCGTACAAATACTGGAGGAAGGGCCTTGTCTATTGATGCCCCCAGGGTCTGGAATGCCATCGTCAATAAACTGCAACTTGGATCACTACCTATGAGATCTCCACTCAAAACTGCTCTAGAGGAGTTGTACACCCCTAGCTGCCACTGCTATTCAGAATGGCCTGGAATGAAATGTATTGTTCCGGATGACCGCTGCAAAGTATGATCTTGAGTTTTGATTATAGTGTGCTGATCTTTAAAGGTGTATTGAAACATTTTGATTTTGCTACTGATATTCCTGCTGTTATGGAGTGACTCATGCAGCTAGCTATGGCTGCAAAGTTTGGTCGTACATGTTATGTATATCGTTTATTGTTAAATTTGAATCACAGTTTCTATGATCACTGTTACATTGTTTTTATAGCTTTACTAGCGGTAAGTACCTGGCGTTGCTCGGGCGAAAAAGGCACACACACACATGGACTTACACACAGACATTGACCCACACACATAGAAACACATCGACTTAGACGCACACACACACATATATGGTTAAACCCAGGATGGATCGTTAGCAGGCCAGCCTAAATGTTTCTAACCGGCGAAGATGTTCCATTAGGGGGATGCACGTTTCACAAGCGTATAGAAGGGAGGAAATTACCGTGGCCGAGAAGAGCTGAAGCTTCGTGCGGAGCGACAGACCAGGTAGCTTCCACACAGCATAACGCAGCCGATGAAAATATAATGGCGCTCGACTGATTTGAAGTGAGACTTCTGCTGTTTAACCGGAGCCGGTCATGAGCACACTGGGCAGGTATGGGAATCTCGGCAATCTCTCCACAACTGGCGCATCACGAATTGTGAGCTGTGGGGGTGGATTGTTCGATGGTACAAAATACCCAGGCAGGTGCTTAGTTTTGGAGGGGCTGATGGTAAGGCCCCACCTCTTAGTGGCAAGCTCCAGGTTCAGCAGCAGCGAGCAGCAATCACCAGAGCATCGGCATACATAACATGGTTGAGCAATAGGGAGGCATCCGTTGAGCGCACCCGGGCATCGATCAGCCCCCATTGTATCTGCTCCATATGGTAATTGATCGGGTACAGCCAGTGAAGGCTTCACGAACTACGTGGTCAAAAGATATGTTACATAATGTGGAGCCAGAGGACATCCCTGTCACACCCCAAGGTGTAGAGGGAATGGCTCTGACTGACGGCCACGTAGTTTGACGCGGGGCCGCTCACCATCATGAAGGTCCTTAAAGATCGTGAGCAAAATTTGAGGGACTCCGAAAGCATGAAAAACAACCGAGAAGCCAGGCCTACTGATGGTATCATAGGCCTTGAGCAGGTCAATAAAGCACATACATTCACTCACACACACACGGACCTACAGACGCGCAAAGAAATTGACTTACACTGACTGACATGGAGCCATGCACACAAAGCGACTAACACAGACGCCCATGGACTGACACACACAGACATAGACTGACACACATACAACGACTCACACACACACATAGACTCACACACAGACATACGTGGACTCACACACACATTGACGTAAACACACATGTACTTACACAGACACATATCGACTAAGATGGAATTCCTTTCTAGCTCAGACCCCGCTTGCTTGCCCATCGCCACATATTTAACCTTGTTGTAACAGCTCTCTTGCTGGTTCAGCAGTTCTACTGCTGGATTTTTTTTCCGCCTGAGGACGACCGTTTGTGTTGCGATCGAAGCGTCGCGATACATTATTTTTTGTTTTATTTTATTTTTCTACCTACGTGACTTTACCGAAAAAACCAAAGAGAAATGATGAAATGTGCAGTGAACACCTACGGGCTATCTGCCCAATGGATCGTGACGATGATGACGTTGGCTTTCCTGGATAAATGTTGTCCATACTGTTGCTGTGAAGTTGAGGGTGATGTTTTTGGACGAACGTGTTGAGTTATTTCAGGGCTGCTTCAGGTTGCAGACGTCACGACGTCCCGCACCACCGATTAGCACGTTGGCTACGTGCGGTGCGAAAGAAATTCAAAAACAGCCGCCATTCGCCAACGGCGCCTGTGCCAGGCCAGGTGCACTTTGAGGCCACCTGAGGTGTCGAAAGCTTGCCGACAGGAAGGTCTCGGGACAGACCCAGCAGGTACAGTGGGTTGGCTGACTGATATGACTGGCAGATGCACACCAGCTGTGTCCCCTGTTAAGCCAATTTTCTGCATTTTATCTGCCCGGCGCTCCGCTCGTTGTTGTGAGCGTCGCTCCTCTTGCCCCTCCGTTGTTGTTGGAGGGCGACTGCCTCCAACTGTCCAGTAGCAGCGTCATTCGCGAGCTTCCTCCACAGAGGCCGATCATGACACCGCTGGTACCAGAAAGAAGTTCAACCAATACCAAAACCCGCCACTCGCCGCTGATGGTGACGTCACCACGGCGCCTGTGCCAGGCCAGGTGCACTTTGAGGCCACGTGAGGTGTCGAAGGCTCGCTGACAGGAAGGTATCGGGACAGACCCAGCAGGTGCCATGGGTTGGCTGAGGTGCACCAGATGTACCCTCTACTGTGTCAAACAAAGACAACATCCCTGGCATAGCCTTAACAGACTGTTGGGGCAAGTGCTGTTAGCGAGTAGCACCGATGAAGGCCGGCACGGCACACGAGGGGGTTGGGTGGCCAGCACCACGCCCGGCCGCCTTTGTCTCCCCAGTGGCGACGCTTACACACCGCGCCAGGTACTCATTTGAGGCTGAGTCGACCAGGAAGCCGGGTCGCCAGGTTCGTAACCGCTGCACTACCGTTCCACACGTGTCAATTCACAGACTGACACACACGCGTCCGGCCCATTCATTCTCGCCATGATGTCAGCACATTCCCCTTGACGTCTGCACGCTTCCCATGACGTCATTTGTGCGTGGGTGGGGGGTGAGCGATGACGTCCGCACCCTCCTCCCCACTGACCCGACGCCCACAGAGCAAGGATCGCAACGGGCGATGTCATTGCCCGCGCCGGAGGCGACGGCCATCTTGTTTAGTTCACGGATTGCAGTGGGAGCGGGTGGCCATCTTGTTTAGTTCAAGGCCGCATCCAGCGGTGCGCGACGCGATTCGGCGATTCGGCGATTCACCCATGGGGGGGTCTCGCATCGCAGACGCGGCGCCCAGCTGCACTGTATCGCTCTTGGTGTGAATGCCGCAGCGTGTTCGCGAATTTGTTGTGGATTGAGTCGGCGAGGAAGAGTAGGCAGTCACGCGAGGGATGAGAGCGAGAGACGCGGGGGCGATGCGGTTCGTGGCGATGGCTTTGGTGATGGTGGCGTGCGCAAGTTGCGGGGCAGACGTGAGTCCTGGGGAGTTCCGAGTGGCGAAGATCGAGCAGGCGTGGAACAAAGCGCAACGCGTGAGGAGCTTGCACCACCACCACTCCTCGCCACCGTCACTAGTCACTCCCCACCATCACTCACTCCCCACCATCACTCCTCACCATCACTCCTCACCATCACTCCCCACTTCCCACCATCACTCCTCACCATCACTCCTCACTCCCCACCATCACTCCTCACCATCACTCCCCACTTCCCACCATCACTCCTCACCATCACTCATCACTCCCCACCATCACTCCCCACCATCACGCCTCACTCCCCACCATCACTCCCCACCATCACGCCTCACTCCCCACCATCACTCCCCACTCCCCACCATCACTCCCCACCATCACTCCTCACTCCCCACCATCACTCCCCACCATCACGCCTCACTCCCCACCATCACTCCCCACCATCACTCATCACTCCCCACCATCACTCCCCACCATCACGCCTCACCATCACGCCTCACTCCCCACCATCACTCCCCACTCCCCACCATCACTCCCCACCATCACTCCTCACTCCCCACCATCACTCCCCACCATCACGCCTCACTCCCCACCATCACTCCCCACCATCACTCATCACTCCCCACCATCACTCCCCACCATCACTCCCCACCATCACGCCTCACCATCACGCCTCACTCCCCACCATCACTCCCCACCATCACTCCCCTCCATCACTCCCCACCATCACTCCCCACCATCACTCCCCACCATCACTCCTCACTATCACTCCTCACTCCCCACCATCACTCCCCACCATCAATCCCCAACATCAATCCCCACCATCACTCCTCACTCCCCACCATCACTCCCCACCATCACGCCTCACTCCCCACCATCACTCCCCACCATCACTCCCCACCATCACTCCTCACTCCCCACCATCACTCCCTACCATCACGCCTCACTCCCCACCATCACTCCCCACCATCACTCCCTACTATCACTCCCCACCATCACTCCCCACCATTACTCCCCACCATCACTCCTCACTCCCCACCATCACTCCCCACCATCACGCCTCACTCCCCACCATCACTCCCCAATATCACTCCCCACCATCACTCCTCACTTCCCACCATCACTCCCCACCATCACGCCTCACTCCCCACCATCACTCCCCAATATCACTCCCCAATCCCCACCATCACTCCCCACCATCACTCCCCATCATCACTCCCCACCATCACTCCTCACTCCTCACCATCACTCCCCACCAATACTCCCCACCATCACTCTTCACTCCCCACCATCACTCCCCACCATCACTCCCCACCATCACTCCTCACTCCCCACCATCACTCCCCACCATCACTCCTCACTCCCCACCATCACTCCCCACCATCACTCCTCACTCCCCACCATCACGCCTCATTCCCCACCATCACTCCCCACCATCACTCCCCACCATCACTCCTCACTCCCCACCATCACTTCCCACCATCACTCCCCACCATCACTGCCCACCATCACTCCCCACCATCACGCCTCACTCCCCACCATCACTCCCCACCATCACTCCCCACTATCACTCCCCACCATCACTCCCCACCATCATGCCTCACTCCCCACCATCACTCCCCACCATCACTCTTCACTCCCCACCATCACTCCCCACCATCACTCCCCTCCATCACTCCTCACTCCCCACCATCACTCCTCGCTCCCCACCATCACTACCCACCATCACTGCCCACCATCACTCCCCACCATCACGCCTCACTCCCCACCATCACTCCCCACCATCACTCGCCTCTACCCACCATCACTCCCCACCATCACTCCCCACCATCACTCCCCACCATCACTCCTCACTCCCCACCATCACTCCCCACCATCACTCCCCACCATCACTCCTCACTCCCCACCATCACTCCCCACCATCACTCCCCACTCCCCACCATCACTCCTCACTATCACTCCTCACTCCCCACCATCACTCCCCACCATCACTCCCCACTCCCCACTTTCACTCCTCACTCCCCACCATCACTCCCCACCATCACTCCCCACTCCCCACCATCACTCTCCACCATCACTCCCCACCATCACTCCCCACCATCACTCCCCACCATCACTCCCCACCATCACCCCCCACCATCACTCCCCACCATCACTCCTCACTCCCCACCATCACTCCCCACCATCATGCCTCACTCCCCACCATCACTCCCCACCATCACTCCTCACTCCCCACCATCACTCCCCACCATCACGCCTCACTCCCCACCATCACTCCCCACCATCACTCCCCACTATCACTCCCCACTCCCCATCATTACTCCCCATCATCACTCCTCACTCCCCACCATCACTCCCCACCATCACCCCCCACCATCACTCCCCACCATCACTCCCCACCATCACTCCCCACCATCACTCCCCACCATTACTCCCCACCATTACTCCCAACCATCACTCCTCACTCCCCACCATCACTCCCCACCATCACTCCTCACTCCCCACCATCACTCCCCATTTTCACTCCCCACCATCACTCCTCACTCCCCACCATCACGCCTCACTCCCCACCATCACTCCCCACCATCACGCCTCACTCCCCACCATCACTCCCCACCATCACTCCTCACTCCCCACCATCACTCCCTACCATCACGCCTCACTCCCCACCATCACTCCCCACCATCACTCCCTACTATCACTCCCCACCATCACTCCCCACCATTACTCCCCACCATCACTCCTCACTCCCTACCATCACTCCCCACCATCACGCCTCACTCCCCACCATCACTCCCCACCATCACTCCCCACCATCACTCCTCACTTCCCACCATCACTCCCCACCATCACTCCCCACCATCACGCCTCACTCCCCACCATCACTCCCCAATATCACTCCCCAATATCACTCCCCAATCCCCACCATCACTCCCCACCATCACTCCCCATCATCACTCCCCACCATCACTCCAAACTCCTCACCATCACTCCCCACCAATACTCCCCACCATCACTCTTCACTCCCCACCATCACTCCCCACCATCACTCCCCACCATCACTCCTCACTCCCCACCATCACTCCCCACCATCACTCCTCACTCCCCACCATCACTCCCCACCATCACTCCTCACTCCCCACCATCACGCCTCATTCCCCACCATCACTCCCCACCATCACTCCCCACTCCCCACCATCACTCCCCACCATCACTCCTCACTCCCCACCATCACTCCCCACTATCACTCCCCACCATCACTGCCCACCATCACTCCCCACCATCACTCCCCACTCCCCACCATCACTCCCCACCATCACTCCCCACCATCACTCCCCACCATCATGCCTCACTCCCCACCATCACTCCCCACCATCACTCTTCACTCCCCACCATCACTCCCCACCATCACTCCCCTCCATCACTCCTCACTCCCCACCATCACTCCTCGCTCCCCACCATCACTACCCACCATCACTGCCCACCATCACTCCCCACCATCACGCCTCACTCCCCACCATCACTCCCCACCATCACTCGCCTCTACCCACCATCACTCCCCACCATCACTCCCCACCATCACTCCCCACCATCACTCCCCTCCATCACTCCTCACTCCCCACCATCACTCCCCACCATCACTCCCCACCATCACTCCCCACCATCACTCCTCACTCCCCACCATCACTCCCCACCATCACTCCTCACTTCCCACCATCACTCCCCACCATCACTCCCCATCATCACTCCCCACCATCACTCCTCACTCCTCACCATCACTCCCCACCAATACTCCCCACCATCACTCTTCACTCCCCACCATCACTCCCCACCATCACTCCCCACCATCACTCCCCACCATCACTCCTCACTCCCCACCATCACTCCCCACCATCACTCCTCACTCCCCACCATCACTCCCCACCATCACTCCTCACTCCCCACCATCACGCCTCATTCCCCACCATCACTCCCCACCATCACTCCCCCACTCCCCACCATCACTCCCCACCATCACTCCTCACTCCCCACCATCACTCCCCACCATCACTCCCCACCATCACTGCCCACCATCACTCCCCACCATCACTCCCCACTCCCCACCATCACTCCCCCACCATCACTCCCCACCATCACTCCCCCACCATCATGCCTCACTCCCCACCATCACTCCCCACCATCACTCTTCACTCCCCACCATCACTCCCCACCATCACTCCCCTCCATCACTCCTCACTCCCCACCATCACTCCTCGCTCCCCACCATCACTACCCACCATCACTCCCCACCATCACTCCCCACCATCACGCCTCACTCCCCACCATCACTCCCCACCCTCACTCGCCTCTACCCACCATCACTCCCCACCATCACTCCCCACCATCACTCCCCACCATCACTCCCCTCCATCACTCCTCACTCCCCACCATCACTCCCCACCATCACTCCCCACCATCACTCTTCACTCCCCACCATCACTCCCCACCATCACTCCCCACCATCACTCCTCACTCCCCACCATCACTCCCCACCATCACTCCTCACTCCCCACCATCACTCCCCACCATCACTCCCCACTATCACTCCCCACCATCACTCCCCACCATTACTCCCCACCATCACTCCTCACTCCCCACCATCACTCCCCACCATCACGCCTCACTCCCCACCATCACTCCCCACCATCACTCCCCACCATCACTCCTCACTCCCCACCATCACTCCCCACCATCACTCCCCACCATCACGCCTCACTCCCCGCCATCACTCCCCAATATCACTCCCCAATATCACTCCCCAATCCCCACCATCACTCCCCACCATCACTCCCCACCATCACTCCCCATCATCACTCCCCACCATCACTCCCCATCATCACTCCCCACCATCACTCCTCACTCCTCACCATCACTCCCCACCAATACTCCCCACCATCACTCTTCACTCCCCACCATCACTCCCCCACCATCACTCCCCACCATCACTCCTCACTCCCCACCATCACTCCCCACCATCACTCCTCACTCCCCACCATCACTCCCCACCATCACTCCTCACT